AGGAAGGGAAAAAGGGGTGTGTGGGGGGGGGGGGGGGGGAGAGCAGAGTAGAGAGAGGGGTCTGCCTTTACTCAGAAGTCCCAAAGCAAATCAAGGAAAGTGCCATCACCAACAAGCTTCCTTCTGTGTGTCAATGCTCCCACCTTCTGGTGTCAATTATAAATTCATTAGAAAATAGCGCCAATCTAGGTCATTCAATAGATGAAGCACAGAATGTAATCATGTGAGTTTACATATATATCCCCCAAGTATTCCTGGGATCTATTTCAACCAGAATTAAATATATCTACTTTTCAAGCTCCTACCTTTTCAGATATACCACTGATCTTTTAAAATATACCACTGTGCCTGGGCGCAATTAGAGAAACTCCTTCAATGTTCTCCCTACATCCATGTCCCCCTTCCAGCCCATCCTCCACTCAGCAGCCAGAGTCGCCTGTGGTTTGTGACAACATGGACCAACCTTGAAGGTCTTGTGCTAAGCAAAATAAATCAAAGACAAAGACTTATCACTTATTTGTGGAATAGATACAAACTCATCGATACAGAGAACAGCCTGCGGGTGTTTGCAGCAAAGGACAGGACCAGGACTGATTCCCTGGCCTGCCCCCCAGGAGGTCTCAGGCCTTAGCCAGCTGGCTCAGCACGGAGAGGGCCCCATAGAGGGCAGACAGGGGCTCCTGGGCTTCCGGGTCCCTGGTTGACCCGGGGCTGTTCAGCTCTATCTTCAGGCCACACTCATCCAGCAGCCCATAGGTAATGGCCAAGTCCTCCCCCTGGAGTGGGACCAGGAGCTCAGGCTGGAAGGTAAAGCGAGTCTTCTCAGAGCAGTTGAAGTTGGGCTTCAGGATGCTCTTCACCTTGAAGAAACAGTACCAGATGTTACAGGCCAGCCTCTGAGGTCAGGAAGCGAGAACCTTCGGTCCCAAGGGCCAGGGGTCATGCAGTGTGACTGTGGGGACAGGCGCTTTGGGGTCACTCCTTGTCCTGTCATGCGGTCAGTGTGACCATGGACACATTGTTGGAAATCACTGAGCTGCTAAATAGTGACACTGACACTTACTCAGAAAATAGTGGGGTTTGGAATTGTATGTGTATGCTTGCATGTGTAATGTGTCTATGTACATGTCTATACACACATATAGATACGTACATATACATACATGCAGAGTGCACAATTTGCAAATAGTAATTGTGTGAATACAGCAGGGGTTTAGATAATTCAGATCCCTTGAGCTTCCCAAACCTATATTCCTAGACGGCTATTTTAGAACTGAGGGGAGAGGCCCTCTGCAGGGTTGCCATGGAAACTGAGACCTTCCCCAGGTAGACTCATGCCCGCTGGGCCTGTTTCCCAGATGGAGATGCAGCCCGGATTTCCCAGACCCACGCCGGGACCTCCCGTCCCCTCCCAGCAGCAACCCCAGTCATCTCTCCTTTCTCAGAGCCATTCTTATCCCGCTGCCCTCACTCTATTCCCAGGACGCCGGCCCCTGGGGGTGCTCACCAGGTCCCTCTGCGGGAGGAGGATCCTCTTCTCCATAGACTGAGCCAGCAGAACATGTTGGATGTCACTCAGCACTGGGGACAGGGGGACA